GGGGGGCCCGCGGGAACCGCCCTCCCTGAGGGTTTCCCACCTCCATCACCCGGCATGCTCCAGGCCGAGGAACAGCTCCGCCCGCCAGCACATACCCAGAGATGCCAGCACATACCCAGAGATGCGTGCACGCACGCAGCGCTCACAGCGGCACCTGCGCTCCCCCACACTGGCCGGCACCGCCAGATCTCAGTCACCAGCGCATCCTCTTTCAAGCATCTCTCGGACCCAGGCGCAGTCTCATACACTTGACAGACACAGACTCCTAGTTGTAGGGCCGCGTTCGAAACCCCCACATGGATGCGGTCAGGAACCGGCGGGAGGAAACCCCACAGGCCGGGGAGAAGCATCAGGGACACGAGCGCTTCGCCGGGGATGTGACACTGGGATCCAGCCGCCCAGGGCCACGCTCACCCGGACGGAAGGCTTGGTGGGCGGCGCGCTTCCCGAGATCAGCAGGGACACCGCCACGCCTGCCTCTCACAGTCCCCCTGAAATCTCTCCATTCTCATCCCTGAACACCGAACACCCGCTTCCACCCACGTCACCAGGGCCCAAGGCGCCTCCCTGTGCAGCCCCTCTGCCTGCGCGGTGGCCGCGGGGTCAGCGGTAGCTCCTGGGCTGCCTCCCAGGCCGGCCCCACTGCAGGGACCCGGAGCCAAGCCGAGGGCGGGCGCCAGCCAGCACTGGGTGGACGCAGGCACAGCAGCCCGTGAACTGGGACCAGAGCGTCCGGACGTTCACCGATAACACGCAGACCCGTCTGCAGACGCAGGCAGCACGTCTGCGAAAGGAGACGCTCACCAGGAAGGCTGCCAACTGCCATTTCAGCCGCGCCCTTCAGGCTAGTTCACGTCAGAAATAAAAGCGACCTCAGAGTGCAGACCACTGGGTATGGGGGGAACTGCTGACTGAGGAAAGTTAGTATCCAAGACTAAGGGGTGGACAAGCGACCGCTTCAGGGCGGGACCGTGTCTGGAAGGTGCTGTTATTGGGGAAAAATCAGTCTGTTCCCCACGAGGTACCACTCCCAGGGCCACAGAACCAGGACACAGGCTGGCCTGCAGGTTAACGTCTCAGGTGGACACCTGTGTGAGCGTCCACTACAGCCAGGCTGAGGGACGGTCACCTCTGCCTTCACAGCGAGACGCACCCTCTCACCAGGGCACCTGGTCCCCAACGGCCACCTCCCTCCAGGATCGTTCCAGACTCCCCTGCCCAGCCCCGTCCCCGACAGTCGGCAGCGAGTGCCCGGCAGAGACTCTGGGCAGAATGGCCGGGTTCTGACGCTTCTCCGGGTGCTGGGAGCGGAGGCTGGCAGTCGCCTAGAGACCAGTGGAGATGACCCTGAGGGGCGGGGGCCCCGGGTGTAGAAGCAGGAGGCATCTGCACACAGCCGGCCGCCAGGACACTGGGCTCGGACTGGTCCCAGGGCGGCAGGCCTTCCCTCACCGCGCACACTTGTCCTTAGGAACAGCATTCAGTCCCGAGTAACGCTTTTGTCCTGATGGCAAAAGACACTCATCAGAGACAAGGTAGAAACCACTGAAAAGCCGGGAAGCAGAGGGTCTTGAATCACCTGGCACCGCGTTCTCAGGTCAGCTGCTTCCGGGACTCTCCCCAGCAGCACATGAGCTCATGCACAACCCTGAACGAACAGCTGCTGGTGAGTGACGCTGTTACACAGTAAAACCCGGGTCACCACCATCCAACAGCACCACTGGCACTCCTGCCTGGCACAGGCACCTGTCACTGATGGGCAATGCCACATGCCAGGGGAACAGTGACAGGGTGGCAGTCACCCCATGCCACCCATCATCACCAGGACAGAGGCTGGAGCGCCACACACACCCTTCCTGACAGCAGCATGGACACAGCGCCACCTACACAGCAGTTGTCCTTCAAAGTCCTCCCTCAAACCTCCTTTGCCCGGGGACCTAGGGTCACAGCCAGTGGGCAGGGACCGCTTCTGACGCTTCTCCGGGTGCTGGGAGCGGAGGCTGGCGGTCGCCTAGAGACCAGCTCACATCCCAGAGGGTCCCTGTTACCCGAGGTGGGACCCACAGGACCCTCGCTGTCACCCGACTGTGCCCTTCACAGACACGCGGGACAAGAATGCCGGAGCACGGCCCTCAGGAGGCACCGAGGTGGGGGTGCGACACCCGCTCCCCAGGAAGATGCAGGAGGAGCCTGGGTACTGACTGGTTCCGTTGAGGTCGACCATGAGGCCGCCCTGCACATGCTCCTGGATCAGCTGCAGCGTCCGCTCGAATATCTCGCCGGCGCGCGCCTGCTCCACGGTGTAGGGGTCCCTCGGGTAGCGGAACAGGGCCAGCAGGTCGTTAGGGGAGCGTGGACGGCTGGCGCAGTCGGGGCAGGAGGGAAGAGGGGACAGTCAGAGACAGAAATCACCGGCACCCAACGACAGAACTGCGGCTTACTGCTGCCGTAGCTACTGCTCTAGGGGCGAACCGTACCTGCCTGATCCCGGGTGGAAGGCAAGAGAAAAACAAAACCAAGAGAAACCAAACACGAACAGTTCATTAGTTCCAGGGAGAAAACAGCAACATTCGACTTCAATGCAGACACAGAAAAAACACCTCGGAATTGGCCAACAGGAACACGTCCCCTAATGGCTTGTGAAATGCGTTGTTTTTGCCAAATCGTTTAGCAACAAGCCAAAGGCCCGTGTTGCCATTTTAAAGAAATGTTTGACTTGTGAATCATGCTCCAGGCTCTACTTGGAAAGGACGTGCCTGTTATCTTAACCCCCCGGGGAGCGGATGCCAACCTTGTGGATGGTTTTCAAGCGAAAGGTTTTCTCCCGATGAGGCAACTGGTCCACCCTGGACCAGAATGGCCCGAATCCGTCCCCCGCCCGCCCCCGCACCCCGAGCTCAGGGAGGCGGGCCAGATCGCGCCCTACCTGTCAAACAGGTGTGTCCGCGTGGAGTTTATGGCCCTGTCGACCGTTGCGATCGCCTCCACGATGGATGTGGCCACGAACGGGTCCCCGTTTCGGCTGACGTCAGGCACTAGGAGAACACGGAGCCGCGAGTTACCAGGGCCCTAGAAGAGTTACTAGGCGTCTAGACGCTACATCATCAAGACAGAGGCACACGGCTCCAAGGGCTTTTTCTGTTTCTCACACCAGAGCTCAACTCACTTCATCACCAACTCTACTGGAAGCTGCTTTCAAACAGAACGGAAATTACAGACTTTTCATTTTTGAAGTCACGCCACACCCTCTAGGCTGCACGGGGCCGGAGGAATCATTTGGTCTGGCCCTGCAGGGGCGTTAGGGTTGAGCGAATCAAATGACCAATTAAAGCAGGCTCGTTTTTAAGCTGACAATTTTGCATGGCCTGCGAATGATGTTACAGATATCCCCATGGCCCCCGGCAGAAAAACGTTCCCCACCCCTGGTCTAAAGGAACAGGGAAACTAGCTATCATGTCACACACTGGCTGGCCGGGGAGGCATTCTTTAACCCCCGGAGCTCAGGGAGCCGGGCCGCTGCTTCAGGGATGACGAAGAGGTTTGTGTTGCAGACGCTCGGGACCTTCACGCCCTGGGAGCAGAGAGCAGCCCCGTCTCCTGAGCTCTGTGGGGTAAGAATGGGGCAATAACAGCTCCGAAGTTTTGCCAAATGATGACACACTGTCGGATGTGAAGGGGTTTGGATGACGGCTGAACCCACCACCAAACCAAGGGCAGGGAGGCTCCGCCGAGCGAGTCAGACACAACAGCCTCGCGGGCAGGAGGGGCTCAAGCCGCCGGGCCCTGCCACCTCCCGAGGGTGCCCTGTGGCCTCCTGCAAACGAGGGGTGTGGACACACCACCTTCTTTTTTTTTAAAATATATTTTATTGATTTTTTACAGAGAGGAAGGGAGAGGGATAGGGAGTTAGAAATACCGATGAGAGAGAAACATCAATCAGCTGCCTCCTGCACACTCCCTACTGGGGATGTGCCCGCAACTAGGTACATGCCCTTGACTGGAATCGAACCTGGGACCCTTCAGTCCGCAGGCCGACGCTCTGTCCACCAAGCCAAACCAGTCAGGGCGACACGCCACCTTCTAACACCCCCACGGCCCGGCCTTGTGCTGGGAGCCGGCGCCTTCCTCCCGCCGCCTGAACCCACGCGGGTGGGGTGTCTGCCAGCCCCAGGAACCGGGCCGGGCCACCTACCGCTGACACTGAGCACCATGCTGACCGAGGCCTGCCCGATGGTGTTCCGCGCCACACACTCGTAGCGGCCGGCGTCCGCGGTTCCCACGTCGTGGATGGTCAGGAACCCCTCAGGGCTGATGTGAAACTTCCCGCTTTCTGTCACCTGGACCCCATCCTGGAGCAAACGGGAGAGTCACAGGAATGAGACTGCGGAGCCGTGTTGCTCACTGCAGGTGGTGAGGGGCCATCGTCGGCCTCACAGGGGGACACGACAGGACCCCGAGGGCAGGTTCACCAATAATCGGAGAGAGGAGATGAATCTGATCCACCCAGTACGGCTTCCATGGGGTGAACTGTCCGATGTGCCTGCCTAGGTCCAGGGGAGATCCGGACGGAAGCCACAATCCTGGGATTTTCCAGGATGGGGTGGGAGGGGGGCCCAAAAGCAGCCCCCGTGGGACAGACTGCAGTGAGGAGCATGAATTCGGGCACCTGGGAGGGAGAAGGCCTGGGCACTGCCTCCTGGGACAGCGACACCCCAGCCGAGAGAGGAAGCGAGGAGGACGGGCACACAGTGCCCTCTGGTCCACTCATCCCCCGGACACCCCGCCTTTTAAGCACTTGATTGTATGTTTAAACTCTGCTGCGTTTTCTACGGGGCTTCATAAAAACAAGAGGAAAATAAAACCACAAAGAACCTTCCCCGCTGACTGTGGGGTCAAGGGTCTAACAGGAAGGTTTTCTGCTCTGGTGCCGCGAGGCTGTGAGAAGGGGGCGGCCCCAGGCTGTCGTCTCCTTTGGTTTTATTACTGAGGACAGCGGCACATCTTCCCCTTGGGCCACGATCTGGAGGTTTCCCCTGCTGTGGGAGTTACCCCGCCGTCCCCCCGCCCGCCCCGCGCACCTGCCCGCCGCGGTACCTTGTTCCAGGTGATGGTGGGCTCGGGCTCGCCCTGCGAGCTGCACGGCAGCTGCACGTTGGAGCCCACCTCCGCCGTCTGGTCGCTGGGGACGCTGCTGAACACCGGGGTGACTGGAAGGCAAGGAGCACAGCTGACACCTTGAACCCCCGCCCTCCCTCCGTCAGCACAGGCCCAGGGCACCGAGAACTCGGCTGCCACCCGTCTCCTCCTGGGGTGTCTGCACAGAGAGGAGGGGCTGGAGGGACCGAGATGTCCCCACCCACGAGCAGACTGCAAGGCTGACGGAGCTCCCGTCTGTCCAAGGCCCTGCACCCCAGCCCCCGAGACCCCGATGAGCGGGAAGGCACCCGCGGGTGAGGTTGTGAGGGCCTGGCGGCCTTTCAGGGGTCCTCACCCAACTGCTCACACAACAGGCCGCCCAGAGTCCTGGCCGGTCAGGACTGAGCGGGGCAAACCCCGAAACCCAGAGCCAGCCCAGCCTCGGAGAAGGCCCGGGGCCCACGTCTGCACCTGCAGGCTGGGCTCTGCACCTGCTCCGTCTGCCCGGAGCCTTTCTAGAGACACCAGGCGACCAGGTCCTTCTGAGTACAGAGAACATGGGGACCCTGGCACGTTCTAGGGGGGTGCAAACAGGAAACAGAACCGTGACTCCAGGACACGGTTGGGCCACCAGCCCCAGCGCCGCTGCAATAACCAGGAAAGGCTGCTCCCATCGACCCTGGTTCAGGGTGACACCATCAGCCGGGGAAAAGGGTCCATTTACTGTGACAAGTCGGCCCATCAGAGGGCAGTACAAGCACCGTTGAAAATACTCCTTATCGCAGGCTACAGGGCAAACTTAAGGAGCTGCATGTGACACAGTCCCCTGGGAACCCAGGGTCAAGGGTCGGTTGTTCAAATCAGGTAGAGGTGGCTGTGGGTCATGAGTGACGTGGATGCCGGTGCAGGAGCCTGGCCTCCCGCGCGTCTGCT